AAGTAACTTTTCAATTCACCAATACTTCATGTAATTTTAACTTACAAAGTAAAACTAATTATGCTTTGAAACCTCTTCTAGGTTCATTATATAAGCAAAAGAATCACATACCAGGGCTTATTAGATCTTGCTTATAGGCCTAATCATAGTGTCAAAGAATTACAAATATTTGATATGAACAGTTACATATTTCATATGAGCTCCTGGTGTGAAGGAAAATAAACTTAAAATTGTGGCATTTGTGTTAGAGGAAAAACACACACATATAATGAGATCAGCTATTATGACATACTAAATGAAGTAGTTTAGTTGCAATATCCGGTTTATGTTGAACACAATGTCAACATGTTCAATTGTGAGTAATTTGATTATGTTCCTAATCAAAAAACACAAATACTCAACCTTTATGATATTACTGAAGTTAAAATAAAACGAAGATATGCAAAGTACGACACATTTATTCAGGCATGTTAGACTAGTCAAGTTTATTATATTTGATATCCTAATTGAGCAGGGGATAAATCAAGAAAAACAATTAAAATGAAAAATACTATCAAACTCATTCACCAAAAGCCAGTTAGGTCTAATTTTTGTATTTAGCGTAGTTCAATGATGATGTGTTACCTCTAGAGTATACTACGGGGCTTCATAAATAAGTACCTCAAGATATGGATAAAAATGATGATGAGATTTATGAAAGAAATTTTAAGTTATTCATCAGCTATCTCATTTAATGAAACATACTAAGAAATAGTATGTATACTTAGATGACTAGTTTCTACATCTTATTACTTTTACTTTCGTTTCTTACACTATAGTTGTCCTACTTGCTTTTAATGATTTTATACATAGTCACAACATGTTTCATGTTGGCATTCTACACTGTTCTACTTTTAATTTTCTATCTCATATTACATACTAATCCTGTTTACTAATTCTAATAATTTTTGTTCCTATTGCAAATGCCAGGTGCTCATCCCTCAGAGAAACCTTGTAGTTTAGGGACTCTAGGGAAAACATATCAAAGGTTAAAGAAGCCAACACTCATGCTGAGAGGTTTGACACTACTACATCCACTGTGATCACTCCTCCTGTTGTCCCTCCTCCCATACTTGCTCCCTCACAGGCATCACCTCTCACACCTACACCAGCTTTCAATTCATATTTCTCCTCTAATATGATGGGCACCTTGATTCTTGGACTTTAGATGGGCGAATCCTCTGACAAAGGGTATGTTGTGTCAGAGGTAGACTCGTAAGTCATCTTTTTTTTTACATTCGATTAATTTCGATTTTTATCTCAATTTGTGTTGTAATTAATATCTCAATTTCACGTTCTTTCCTTCTAGGCCGCCTGTTACATGCATGAGATCATTCGGAGTCGGTATGATCAGACATTTCTCTCTTGAAAACGTATCTCGGTTAGACTCTAAACATGTGGTTTTGGGAGTTCAAGATATGATCTTTTATTTTGAAAAAAACATTTTAAATCCAAATTTTTTTATACTAATCAAACTTACATAATTTCTAATTTACAGATCATTCTATTGGTCTTTGAAACATTAACATCATATTCGACCGATTGTTGAGGTTCGTGATAGGCGTCGGGTTGGGGATATATTCACCACAACACATAAGAAGAGGAAGAGGCCCACGTAGGTGGGTGAGGATGTCTTGATTGTGTTGAACAGAGCATGGGCCTCTTTGGAATACAAGAGGAAAAGAAAGAAAGCCTCTAAAATGGACTACGAAGGAAGCCAGAAAGGTCGTACTCCACATTGGAGGTTCGATCCCCCATGCAGAGCACTACCAGAGATTAGTAAATTATCTCAAAATTCAGAAATTTAACAAATTATGTAACTATGTGATTCCTATGTTAGTCTGATCATGTATAAGACCAAGGAGCTTGATCGAGAGCCATCCGCTACATAGTTGTATGCCCTAATACATTGACGCCTGGACTCACAATAATGGGTCTCCGACCATACTCGGAGTGTCAATATAAGTTAAAATTTTATTTTCTATTTTTTTTGTGGCAATTAATGTTTAAAATGACAATTAATGTTTGATTCTTGTTATGTAGAAGAAGACAGAGGGAGATGGCTAGTCAGACCTCACAGCCCCCCAGTAGCAGTGGTAGCCAGTCTATAACTGCTTAGTTTGATTTTGAGTTGCAGATGCAAGCGACAAGAAAGAAGAAGGGGAATGTGTACGACCTAGATGCAAAAGGCATAATATTTGAGGCCGACCGCTCTCCTGCAGCTGTGGGTGGCCCTAGCTCGTTACAGGCTCAACATGACGAGCTTGTCATGCAAGTCATGTTGATGAATGAAGAGCTCCAACAGATGTGTGAAGGCGGGCAGAAGGTTTAAGATGTTTTAGCATGTTGGATGGAGAGTTTTGATCATGCGGGGCAAACACCATATGTGTGTCATTATTGAGAAGGACAAAAATCAGCATTAGGATATTTATTATATGTTTGTTGATGTTCTCCCGTCATAAGGATTTATAATTTTTTATTTTCATTTCAATTTAAGTGCACTTTCAGTTTCTTTAGTTGTGAACTTTTAATATTTAGATCCATTTTTTAAATTTAATTTGGTATCATTGTTTAAGCATGTTAGGGATTTCCTTTTTCAATTGTGAAGATGAATAAATATGATTATGATACTTGCATTTGTTATGTGCATGCATGTGGAAATCTAATCGCTCTGCTTGTTTTTTTTTTTTTTTTTTACTTACAGGTTTGCTTCGGAGTAACATTGAAAAATCAGACGCAAACATTACGATTAACAGCTTGATACTTGTTGTAGTTAGTTCAATGCAAATTTGCATCCACCCAAAAGTCAACGCTAAATTGTGTCCACCCTGATCGACACTAATTTGCGTCGATCATGTTTGACGCATATTCAATGTTAAATTGCGTCAAGTGATTCGTCGACAAAAATTCACAGCGGATTTTCTCGACGCCAATTCTGACACAAATAAAAAACCAACACAAACGTCGATGTAAACCCAATTAGTAACGCCCAATTTAACGGAAAACTTTCTCAGAAATTTCCCACGTTAATCCGGAAATTTCCTGTAGTGTGTACAGATTTTCTTTTTTCTAATCTGTTACTAGTTGGATTAATTGATAATAGATAGGAATTGTTAGGTAAGTGGCATCAAGATAGTTGAAAACTACTTTAAAGTCTATTGTGAATTATACTATTCTACAAAACAAGGAAAAAGATAAAACAAGTGAAGTTTAAAGATAAGCGTTAAATTTTTTGTCAAATTTTTGGATAACTTGTCTTTTATAATTTGACATTAAAATTATGATTGGCAAGAAAGTTCACAATGAAAGTACAACATGAATCTTCCAAAAAAAAATTAGAAGTTGGTATGTACAATTAATAGTAGAATTTATATGATAAATTTATATGCATAGAACAGAAAAATTATTCCATACGGACAGCGTATGCATGCGCTGTTCAATCTCAATCGTCCATCAAGTTTTTTTTTTAAAAAGAAATTAAAATCATGCATCTCTGCACACGATGTCCGTATGGAATAATTTTTCCGTAGAAGGAGAATCAGAATATCTCAAACTATATTTTTCAAAATAGTGCTTTAAAGTTTTTCTAATTCTACAATAAATTTGGTCAGTTCAATACTCGCTAAAATATATAAATATTGTACAACATAAAATACTTGATAAAAAATTAGTTTCTATGTCAATACCTCCACTATATCTATAATATTCTATTTTATATATTAGTTACAAAGTGTAAAATTTTTTAAATAAAATATCCAAATTTTATGATAAATATATGAAAATATTTAAATTTAAAGTAGGATAATATTAGCCCACCTAATTTTTTCCACTATCTAGATGAACAAAATCAACTCTTGAACCCTTCAAAACTACTTTCTCTCGCCAAGTTCACAAGTAAGAAGAACACACATGAAAAATAGAATCATAAATTATATAAGGTTTATGTATATATTATACTTATTTTATTAAAGGATATAATGATAATTATCATTAATTTAATATAATTAATTAAAAATTTTATAAATAATCCCATTTATCTTTACATATATAGGACATAAGAAATTAAGGAAACATATTTAATAAATATAAAATCATGTCTAAAATTCACTGAAAAAAATAGTTTGGATAATGGACACCAGATGACTCTAGATAACTCACTTTTATAAAGAAGTATCAATTTCTTAAGAAAAAAACTATTCAAATACGAAGTTTTTATTTGTCTACTTATGACGCTCAATAAATAGGTTAAAATAAATTTAAAATAAAATTCAAGGGAATAAACTCACATAAATCAATCCTAAAAACACGAAGAAAATCAGCATGAGCAAAATAAATAAACAAGACTTACCAGATCCCAAATTATCATGTTACAATTTGTGCACTAAAAGATTGAATGATGAGTCTTAATAATATCATGTCTTGGCCATTTTTGCTCTGCCATGGTGAGTAAATATATCATTCTCTTACTGAAGTTAAACTATTTCCAAATGGATTCATCCATCAAATCAAATTAAGCACAATTCTAATTGTTTTTGAATCAATGGAAAAATTATTGAGTGCGGACACCGCACACAAATTTTATGTGGGCGTCTGATCAAGACCGTAAAAGAATTTAGAGTGGGTCTCACTTTAATAATAAAAAATGTATTTCAATGATTTAAATTGCACAATAAGCGCTAGAATCAATGAGAGTTTGCGTGCGGTGTCCGTACACAATAAGCACTCGAATCGATGAGATTAATTTTTATTCTTCTTATACATCTCATTTGATCATAACGTACAATGTCATTATAATCTTTTTTTTACAAGCAAAAAAAAAAAAAGGAAAACATATTCACCATTTAAGAAAATATCTAAATAGTTCACATATGGCAAAAGCTCAAGAGCTAATTAAAAAAAACAAAAAAAATATCCCCCACCCATCTCCTTCCCATATAAAATCCACCCATAAACATCATCCATCCATCTTCTTCATCAAACCCTTGATCTCCCCTTCCTTCTTCCATTCATGCCAACCTCCTCTCCCTCTTCCATCCACCTCTCCTCTCCCCACTCCATTAACACAAGAAGACCAAACTCCATGAGGTCTCAACCTAAACCCCCAACATCTTCTCCCAACTCCAACAGCCCCTCTAGAAAGAAGGAGACAAAGTGCTCCGCCGTGAAATACAGGGAGTGCCGGAAAAACCACGCGGCCAGCATAGGAGGCTATGCGGTCGACGGTTGTCGTGAGTTCATGGCTTCCGGCGAGGAAGGAACCACCGCAGCCCTCCACTGCGCCGCCTGCAACTGCCATCGTAGCTTCCACAAACGGGAAGCCGACGTCGAACCTCCCTCCATCTGCGACTGCTCCTCCGATTCCAACTCCACCTCCTCCTCCTCCCGCCGGTGATTGCCGCCATCCATCCATCAATTTTATCATCATTGCTTCATTCCTTCATCAATTGTGTTTGTTGGTATACTCAAACATGGTTAATTTCTTATAATTAGTATGCTTAATTTTTTATTTTTAATTTGCCATATGGAGAGATTGATGTGATTTCTAAGGAGTTTTCCAAACTGCAGCATTTAGTGTTTGTATTTGGGAGAAGAGTAAATGAGCTTAGCTAATTCATAAGGAATTTTTTCGCATGTAAATAATCTATATTAATTAATCTGTATTGATACTCATAAACTATCAATTATACAGATCAATTAATATGGACTAATACAAAGCTAGAATACAAATCCAGAGAACAAAAAATTCAGAAGCTGTGCTCATTTAACAATTCCTGTCATTTTGGGAGATAATATTATATCAGGACTCCCAACGCAGTTTGCGTTCAGGGTCCAATAGTGGGGCGCCACGTTTCAAGTGGGCCCCATCGTAACACATTGGCATTGGCCAGTGTTAAAAATGGTGGAGACCACTTAACACGTGACGCCCCACCATTAGACCTCGAATGCATTTGGAGTACTAATGATGTAATATTTTTCCGTCATTTTGGTGTGTACGTATGTGTTAGTGATTGTAATGCTTTGTGGTGAGTTGCCTTGATTGATTTTTTTAGAATTTTAATTTGCATTTGTATTTTTTAATGAATTTATTTATTAAATTCATGTCTTTTTTTTTTCTTTTTTTTTTTTGGCTTCTATATATTTTTCAGATGGCATATTTTTAGTGCAAGTGTGATTGTATTGGGTATTACATAAATATGAGATGGTGATGGCCGACATCATTTTTTTTAATTGAAATAATTTTTTTATGATAGTAAAAAACTTTATTTGATTTGAGTGGAGGAAGAAAAACAATTTCATATTTTATATTTTATATTTGGGGGATTTACATACATACCCCACAATTTCTATGTATTTATATATCTAACACTTAAATTTTATTTTTTATATTTATATCCTCCAAATATTTCATAGCACAAAAATAATTTCACTATTTTGACTTTTAAGAATTAATTACACATTCAACATTCATAATTTTGCCATTTATAAAATTAGCATATATTTTATTTTATTTAGCGATTGAACCGATGCATTAATGCTTGCCACAATCAAATTATTAGGAATTTGATTTATAAAAAAAAATGATTTGGGGGCTTTATTGTAAATTTTTACATTTGAGTGAGAATTTAAAAAATGTATGAAAGAAAGGTGTTAGTTTTGTAAATAGAAAATTTTCCAGTGCTATCAATATGCCCTAAAAATTAAAGTTCAAATGTTAAATATGTAAATACATAGAAATTATGTGATTTACATGTAAATTTCCCTTTATATTTTATATCTTGCTTGCAAGCATTAATGACTCCGAGATAAACAAATCAACATCAACTAATACATCCTTACATATATTTATTTATTTATGTCCACCAAACAATTGTTTTCTATAGCTTCTGAACGTAATTAATATTCAAATGACAAATGGTTTAGTATACTTTAATCAATAGATGCGTTGTTAATTTTATAGCATGTGAATATGTACTATACATTAATTAGGCTTTAGTACCATAATTAATTAAACTAATGTACTTATAAAAATTATGATGCCGTAATTAAATAATGAGATTTGCTAAGGAACCACAATGAAGGCTATAAAGCTCTTCTTATATGTAAGTGGAGGCATTTGCATTATGTTATCTTGCTAACAGTCCCATGAAAATATTTGAATATAATTCCATTTGGTATAATTAGTAATGTAATTCACAAAAAGCAGTTAATTAGTGGATTCACGATTTTTTACTTATATTTTTAATCTAGTTATTTGTTTATCTCAATGAATATGAATGAATATGATATTTTCTTTATAAAGGATACTTAATTATTACATGATCTAAATTTGAAGGGTATGCACATCTATGTAGCCCTTAATTTTAATCAGCTCAAACATACTATCATCAGCCACATGTGTGTGCATGTGCGTGTGCGTGTGCATGTGCATACTTTAAGCCAAAACTGTAGAACAGATCAGCTATGTTACAGGAAAAAAAAAGTTTCAAAAACTGGAAAAAATTAATTCTTGAGTATATAACTTATGCTAAATTTGATACAGCAGGTCACATTTATTCCAATTTTCAACACAATTAAAATATATAGATAAAGTGATGAACACTTCGCATGAAATCATGCAATCGGAGCTAATTAGTATATTATTGTGTAATAAAGGGGCATTTACATACATAATATACAACATATGTATTTACAAATCTAATGCCTAATGATTTCATAATTACATGAATGCCACTCAAATCTGTAACATCACATCAAAAATTTCACCATCATATTTTTATTTATAGGTTTATGACACCAAGCAGTGTTATAAATGGAAATATCAAACTTTGGGTATTAGATATGTAGATACATAATAATTGTGTGATACTGTTGATCTTACTTTTGTGAGGGCATTCTCACTCTCAATAGAAACCTAGGATTTAGCCTTAGCATTTCCCGCTGACCTTCTTAGATGACTAGAAATGGAACTCACCCATATTGGACTTCTAACCTATCCTAGGTTAATCCCAAATCCTTAGAGGGTCTAGCCCAGTGGAAGTCTCTTCTCCATCACATCATTCCCCGCCTCCATTTTTTGTTGGGATGCGGCTGTTGGGTTTTGTTGTTGTTGTCAAGGAGTCACCACTTTGTTATCGAATTACACTGCCCTTTGCTCTGAATAACTATTTCTCTTAAATTTATATAGATAACCTTGAGAAATGAGGAATCGGGTGAGAAGATAGGGCAAGTAGTAATAGAAAAAAAAAAAAAAGTATGCGGAGAAAACTTTCTTGTGGAAAACATTGCAAAGAGAATTTTGAAGTGTTTGGTTTTGGAGATACTCATGTAAGAAGAACCAGATGAAAACTCCATGACTATAAATTTAGGTAATAATACCTATTATGTGGTTCTTTCTCTCTTATAAGAGCAAACTCTTATAGTTAATTACATCTTAAGAAGTTGAAACTACTTAAGAAACTCACAATTAAGGTTAAAATTCATTCTCAAAGATATAAATGTTTTTTTCATGGAAATTAACTTCAAAGTCCAATCCCGTGGATAGTAGATTCCTAAGGATTCAATACTATCCTACATTTTGTTTTGTCATGTTATTTTGTTTGTTGTTTTGGGGTTTATTTTGTTGTTTCCATTTTGTTTTGTTGTTAGAGTATATTTTGTTTTGTAGTTTAAAGTTTGGTTTTGTTGTTTTGTTTATTGTGTCATTTTGCAAAAGGTATAGTTCAAATTCACTGTTTCAAGTTTTCGGAGCTTTGTCCCTGCAAAACTGAGTTAGCACATCCTAATAACATGTAAAGTAAATTTAGGATAACGCTCACTTTTTGTCGTCAGTGGCTCTGGAAAGCAAAATTAGTACAAAGTTATATTTTTTTATTGATTTAATTTATTGAATATTAATTTTTAGGCCACCAGATCAAGATGTTTATGGCTCTATTGTCGTGGGGTTGTCGGATTCCTAACCTACTTAGTCTGAGAGATGATTAAACGCACTGAAATCGAAAGATTCTTGTCAGCAACCATAAATTGCGTCATTAAAGAGGTTTTTATAAACCATGATAGACTGGGTTAAAGTTGCGGTCGGTGATATTTATTCATTAAGGTTTTATTCAGGTATTAATGTCTTTTTCATATTTTAGAGGTTAAAAATTTTAGGTTTCTTAGGACTTATTATCCAATTAAGCTATTGTTATTTGTGTTTTATTTTAATTTTTAAAATGAACCAGTCAAGATCTCATGGTTCTGTCCTTCCCGGGTCTTTAGAGTTTTTGGTTTGATTAACACAGGTGATTGGAGGGTACTTTGTTAGCTACTATGGGTTGTCACCTCTAAAGTATCCTCTCAAAATAGGTTACATTTTTTATTCAAGTTTATGTTTCTGAGTCTTTTGGGGTGGATTTTATATTGGTTGGTTCAATTTTGGTTTAATTATTAGCCCATATTATCCCAAATTGAGGTTAGAATATTTCTAAGTCTCCCTACACCTTCAGTTACCTAGGCTTATTAGTGTGTTTGTTTTAATGTTTAGACTGTGAAATCAAAGTTAGTATGTTTGTTTGTTTTTATGTTTATATTTTATGTGTTTGTTTTTATGTTTATACCCACTACTTAGAAGTCTAATGAATCTCTACATGTTGAATTAAAATTAAAATGATAGAAAATTGATCAAAAATTAATTTTACTCTTGTTTTTAGTTTTATACTTGTATAACTAAGGTATGAAAATTCCTGTAAGTAAGTTATTTCAATTTTTATTTCTGCTTATATGTATCTGCTGCTAAACTGTTTAATCTTGTTAAAAATTTAACTTTGGTGGGGGGGATAAAAAATATTTTCAAAGCTTGAATTTTATTTGTTCTCAAATGTGCTACAACTAAATTTGATTTGAATTTGATTTATTTGATTTGAAAAGAAAAATGATCATGTATATGAAATTATATTAGGGAAGTAAAATTTGATTATAGAAATGAGGAAGAAATTTTAGTTAAAATTCATAGTAATAAAGAAAAACGGTTAAATATAGTGTAACTATCTTTAGTAAGAAAAATTGTATTTTAGAAAAATTTAAAAATTTAGACTTTTATTTTTAAAACTTAAATTTCTTTTATTAAATATAATTTTCAAAACTATTATTACATTTTTAAGTAAAAGATTTATATCAAGACTTTGCTTTAGGAAAGGAGAAGTGAAATTCAAAACTATTAAAGGTCTATCCAGATATAATAATCCTTGCTTGAAAAAGAAAAAAGAAAAAAAAAAGAAAAAGAAAAAGAAAAAAAAATAATGGAGGAGAAGCTTAAAGATTAGTGTCTAATCAAAAATTGGTTCCACATTTAATCTTTTTAAAGTATAAGACTTGAGAAACGCTTAAGCTTAAGGATATAATATAGTAAGTAAAATTATTTTAATAAACTTTTTCTAAGTGGAGATAATAAAAGGACTAAATTCTATATTTTGAAAATCTACAATATTTCTGAATTAGATAGGAACTCATATTTTCATATTTCTTAACAATA